TATATTTTTTTTTGTTTTATTTTAGAAGTTACAGAGTTCCATTATACCACTTTGGACGTGTCTCCCGGGCCAACTATTCAGTTTAGAAAAAAAAATAGAAACCTCAATATCATTTTTAGAAACCTATCCATAAATACCCCACACGTATGGATTTGAAGAAAAAAAATTTTTGCTATTCAATAGTAAGTATGGGGACCCCCAAAATTGGAGGGAATGGAGAAGCGCACGCCAAGGGCGGATCCAGGGAGTGGTCATGGGGGTCATGACCCCCCCCCCCCCCCCCTGGGCTGAGTACAGATGGACCAAACCCAGGGGGAGTTTATTTAAGTACTTTCAATATTTAATATACCACGACTATATGACCCCCCCCCCCCCCTGGCGCCCAAGCTGGCTATATGACCCCCCCCTGGCGCCAAAGCTGGATCCGCCCTTGGCGCACGCATTACTCATATCTTCTTATATATAATAAAATTCTCGTGTCACAATGTTACCATATTCCTCCGAAACGGCTTGACCGATTTTTATGAACTTTTATATGTATATTCAGTAGATCTGAGAATCGGCTACTATCTATGTTTCATTGCCCTAAGTGATAAGGGTTGTCCATCTCATTTTTTGTATTTTTATTTATTCTGGACATTTTTTTTTATGTTTCGTCATTAAAACTACATACAACCCTAAATTTTCATCCTTCTACCACCAGCTCCTATTTTTATGGCAGTACGAAGTTCGCTGGGTCAGCTAGTATATATATCTTTATATATATAATTCTTCTGTGAGTGTGTATGTCACTGAACTTCTCTTAAACGACTGGACCGATTTTGATGAAATTTTTTGTGTGTGTTCAAGGGGATCTGAGAATGGTTTAGATTCGCAATTTTGTCCGCTGGACAACCCCTATTTTTTTAGGGCGGTACGAAGTTCGCTGGGTCAGCTAGTATATGTATATTACAAAGTCCGAAAACCAGTTTTACTTCAAAAAAATATCGTATAAAAGAGAATTAAAAATAGACAACTGTTACGGCACCTCAACCAATGTCAAGTCTAAGTGAAATCCAATCTAAGAATCTAACAATCAAAGTAACTGATGCATTTGATAAAATACGTCTTCACCCATCCTCACCTAGTCACCTTGAGCCATAACCTACCCCGTTAAATTAAATAAATACCTGAACAGATTTTTGAAGTTATACTTCTTTAGGCGCGTTATGAAAAAATGATGAGAGTGAAATTTTAAGATGCGCGCGCATCACTGTAACACAAAATTTTAACAGCATGAAGTTGGTCACTTTAGCGACCAACTTCATGCTGTTACTTTTGTGTTTACCGCACATTAAGAAAATCTACCAACAAAATAGAAATAGAATCTCTATTTAGTGGGTGCTAACGACTGCATTGTGAAGGCCTATCAAAAGTATTTATTAATCTGGAACAACGGAACCAAAGCGCGATTCAGGAGACTACAGCGCCATCTCTTGACCATTGGTGTAGTAGAACCAAAAACCACATCTTTATTTTTCAATGTTACTTTTATGTTATTATTGTAATAAAGTAACAGTTATAGGTATTCATATTTATAATATTTATCCACATGTTTCTAGTTTGTATATTCGGAATACGTGTTTGAGTTTCATACAAGTGCAAATCACATATGTTCTAATAAATTATATTCAGTAGCGATTTTAATTGAATATTTTGATTATTTATTTATTTTTTCAAATTAAAACTGAACTTTATTGACTGTGTCCTTTTCCAGACTTTTTATTAATTTATTGTAATTAATTATTTGCATGCAATTAAAAACTAATTTTAAACGATGCCAAAGAAGGATAACTTCTCACGCGCCTACATAAGTACACGCACCCATTTTTTTTTTGTATTTATTTGTAACGATATAGTCCATCTTTGTCTGTTTGTCATTTACTAAGATGGACTGACGCAAACTAAGATTAAAACAAAATGGGTAGATACGGTACGCTCATACTTGCATCAAACAAAAACTGATCCCACGGCAGCGCGAACGGGACGGCGAGATCCGCGCCACTGCATTACCGACCCGAACGAAACAGTACGTTAAGTTTCAATGGCAGCGCAAACGAGACGGCGAGATCCGCGTCACTGCATTACCGACCAATCAGGCGACTAGTATTCGACGTCACTACCGAATAAGATTAAAAAAAAAACAACATTTTTTAAGAATAAATATATTTTATAGTACTTACGAATGAAAAGTGATGCCGTGGGTTTTATTTTTAGTTTTTGAGCAATTTGAGCACTTTTTAAAAACACACTTAGGGATTGTTTTATCATACAAACACAAAATATCAGCAATGTTTCTTTTCGGCGTTCACATGTACGTCGTTTGCATGTCAATTTGTGACTAAAGCGATTAGGGTCGTGGACCACAATTGGTGCAGATCACTTTTGTGAGGCTAGTGCCGTATCTACCCTTTTTGTTTTAATGTAAGGACGCAAAGGATTTCGGGGAACCCTAAAAGGCTAATAATGTGATTCATTTTTGCAATGTTAATGAGCCTGAGGTGACGTCGTGTTCGTGACCAGTTACGACAATACTAACAATTAATTAGAACATAAGAATGAATATACACACACATACACACACACACACACACACACACGCACACTAATATATACCTCTAAGAAAATATGAGCAATTTTAACTGTTCGGATTATGAGTCTTGTATTTATAATTTTAGTTGGCGTTTTGTTTATTTCAAAATTGTTATATTAAGTTGTGTTGGCGATTATTGTATAAATAGCATCATCTAGTTCCTGGGTTCCGAACCTGGGGGTAAGTAATTACCACTCCGGGGGTAAATCAGCCATACTTGGGGGGGTAACAAAGAACCTAAATATTTGGTCAAATCTAAATAATACTACTAAATAGAGCATGCGCTCCTTCTTGCTAGTGAGCCCGCGGGGTGCTGAGTATTAGTAAAGACGAAGATGTAACGGCCAAATTGGAATTTCTTGAACTAATGATAACATTTTAAAGTCGGGGTAAAATCTGTTTCCCTAATAGGTATCAGGGGTAGCAGTATTGGAAAGGTTAGGAAACACTGTACTAGGAGGACTCATCGACTAATTGTACTATTATGTTATTTAAAGAAATAAACAAATTTTCATTTTCAATACAGGTAGCATTGTTCGCATTTGGCGTGATTGAAATTGGCAAATTGTATACAACCTTATGTAAGTAACACAAGAGACAGGGGTTGCTTATTTCGTTCTTAATTGCTGAAGTCTTTGAAAGTACGACAAATTAACGCCTGAAAGCGATGCCGGTTGTTACAGTCTAATCCAATTTCAAGGTAATTATATAGCTGCTGGAGCTGAAAACAAAATTGGTACAACGGTCAAAGACCGACTTGAGTCTCAGACGCGACGCCAGTTCAAATTCAAGTTCGTTGTTGGTTGTGACTCCATAAAGGCGAAAATCGCTTGTTCTCCATTTATCGTTACAGCACGTTTGTGCCATGTCTACAACTGTTCTTGGTGCAAGCAATAGTCGCCTTTTCATGTTATTATCTTATGCTTAAGAGCTATACTTAAGCTATAGCAGAGGGGATATAAAAAACTAATATATCGATGTTTACTTCCTTCAGTGCACCTTAAATTTCTTTAAGAGCCCTTTCACATTTTTTGCAAAAAATCATAATTTTTGAGCGCATCATTTATCCCCTTAGAAATGATTTTGACTATTTCCAATAGAAGTAAAATGTAGATTTATTCTTCCTATTGTAAGTTAATGTAGAATATTTGCAAATACTATTTCCCTTTTTTTTGTACTGATCGTTCTACTGCAGCTAGTTTACGGAAAAAACGATCAGATGCACAACTTCAAACGCCTGAATCTCTAAATAATCTATACTTATAATAAATCTGTAGAGAGGTCAATTCTGTACATGAAATATATTTTCAAAATAACTATCAGGGGGTGATTAGTGATCGATACTGATGCCAAAAATGCAATCTGTAAAAATTTTGTCTGTCTGTCTGTGCGTATGTTCCTTATAGAAACAAAAACTACTCGACGGATTTTAACGAAACTTGGTACAATAATTCTTCATACTCCTGGGCAGGTTATAGTATACTTTTCATCACGCTACAATCAATAGGAGCAGAGTAGTGAAGGGAAATGTTGGGAAACGGGAGAAGTTACTCCATTTTTTCAGCTTCCGTCGCGTGTGCAGCCTTAATGGTTAAAGTTACATAGAAATTATGTATCACGTCATGACCCCCCCCCCCCCCCCGCCCTGGGCTGGGTCCGTTTGTACCCACTTTACAATCTGTACCCACTGTGACATGACCACGACTATATGCCCCCCCTGGCGCCGAAGCTGGATCCGCCCTTGCACGTACCTGCGAGAGGCGACAGAAGCATGCCATATAAAAGCATTCGTTACTGACCTATATATAGATATATTTTGATGTGATGATTTATTTCTGGAGGGGGGGGGGGTCCCGGAATTGTTAAGCCAGCATCTAGCAAGCCTAGGTAAGATGTTCTTATTTGACTAACCGGCCACCAGTAAACCAGATTAGCGCACGAATGGCTCATTGCTACTTACTAAGAAAAACCATGAACAAAATCATGTTTCCTGGTCCCCTTTAATTTTCAAATAAAGTGCACCTTACAGTGCATGCTATATGAGATAAAGCAGACCGATTAAGGGGCCAATGGAATCCCTATTGGAAATGTATAAATTGAATAAGTAGACATAATTTTTATGTTATTCATATTTGTATGGAAGGTGAATTCACGAATTATCTCATTTAGAAAGTCATTATTCAATCTGATAACTGTATAAAATACAGGCATAAAACAATCCTTGCTGAGTTTCTTGCTGGTTCTTCTCAGTACAAGGTCTCCCGCTGTAGATTTGCGAACCGATGACGTAGCTTTTCGACATTCACAAGTGCTTGTAATAGCCTAGACTAACAAAACGAAATTAGATTTTGAATGTCATTAAACTTACATGAATTGACCATGATCTTGGCGTCAACGGTGATATTGAGGCTGCGCAGCGCGTACACCTTGGTGGTGTCGTTCTTGAGGAAATTGAGGCGGACGCTATTGCTGACGGAGGAGTTGACCACTCCAGAAGCCCAGGTGATCTGGATGTACTGCGCGGAGCCGTTGCAGTTGCCGGTCAAGTTGACCAGGGACGCGTTGGCTGGCACATTCACTAGCACAGAAGCGGTGCGAGTCTCTGCAACAAAGATTGTTTTCTTTAATTTCGCTTTTCTTTGTCAAATATATTTTAAAACATGTATGTAAACAGACAGTACTCAAACCATAAAGTTGCAATTGAGATGGTAAATCAACGATATTAAATACCCTAGATACACCACGAGCGCTCAAAATGTGAATCAAGAAGTGCTTAAACTCCACTCAAGCACTTATTGGTGCACAGTCACGTGCGGACCGTTGAAAAGTCAAGATGCCGCAGAGCTCTGTGAAAAATTGCGAAAAAAAATACTAATAGTATGTAGTGTCGCTTTTTCACCAGGTCAATGGTTGTTAATTTAACGCATTTGAAGAGAATTTTAATCTAATATTTACTATAAACTGATTTAATGTCTATATATATAAAACTCAAAGGTGACTGACTGACTGGCATAGTGATCTATCTACGCATAGCCCAAACCACTGGGCGGATCGGGCTGAAATTTGGCATGCAGGTAGATGTTATGACGCAGGCATCCGCTAAGAAAGGATTTTGATCAATTCTACCCCCAAGGGGATAAAATAGGGAATGAAAGTTTGTATGAAACTTTGTCAAATTTAAAGCGATCGGGCTGAGACTTTGCATGCTGGTATAAGAAGAATCATAGGTGAATGTCATTTTGTATAATACAATCCTGAGAACAAAAACTGTAGTCTACACTTCAGCTCTACACCGATGCGAAGCGAAGGCGGGCCGCTAGTATAAAATATTTGTGATATTCAAATGTTGGGTCGGTTATAAGTCACCGTGTAGCTGTCTCTTTTCCTCGCGGTCTGTACCTGCTACATTGCTAACAGTGCATTCAGAATTGCACGTAAAGTCAAAAAATAAGGTCTATATTCTTCCGCATGTAACAATCAATTGCATTTCGAAATGTCATAAGTCTTTGACGCAAGCGTTTTAATTATGACCTTAATACAATATGCATTAAAGGTGACTTTCGATGTTTCAATAATGCCTTATATTGTTTTTGACCATGCGATCATCTTACGGAGCTCCGTGGATCGTTCAATGTACCTTTAGGCCACGTTTCGGCCACGATTTTGTTCGTGTTGTTGTCTCTATCTAGGTTATTTAATATCGTTGCAGACAGTACTGAAACCATAAAGTCGCAATAGAGATGTTAAATATAAAATTAGACCAGTGTTATGTATGGGGCTGTTCAAGTATTACGTAAGCACTAGCTTCTTGGTGCAACTTAAGACAATAGAGGAAGTATTCGTTTAAAGCTCAGTAGTAAGGAAATGAATATTGTAACTGTTAAAATAGGATGAATTAACATTTAATTATTAAACAAGTAACAGTGTAACGGCATAATGTCAATAATCTTTGTGAATAAAACTAGTTTTTACGGGTTAATGCACGAAACTTTATTTATTTATTGACGTTTCGCAGCCTTTTCAGGTCTGCATCGTCAGAATAATGATTTTTTATTTAAAATTGTCGAGCTACCTTCGAAAGACTTATATTGCTCATTAGCTCGACAATTTTAAATAAAAAATCATTATTCTGACGATGCAGACCTGAAAAGGCTGCGAAACGTCAATAAATAAATAAAGTTTCGTGCATTAACCCGTAAAAACTAGTTTTATTTAATGAGTGATGTGCAAATGTGAAAACCTAAGAAACAAATCTTTGTGAATGTCATTGCTATTTACAGGTGTCGCGGTGTTTTATTTAACTTTTTCTTCACAGTAAAACACAACTCTCTTTTCCGGTGTTAGTTGAGTTTTTGGCGATTTAAAGGTTTGTTTACACATTCTGTGAAATATAATGGAAATATACCAAATTCTCCTCATAAAGTTAAGCTAATCTTAACATTGTTTGCTTTGGTGTTAGGCTTATTGGTGGTATTGCTGGAAATATTTGTTTATTATTTCTACTATACTATATTTTCGTAATAATAAAATTACTACCTAATATTTTTGAAACCTGTCCAAGGTGACAAACTAGTGAGAGATACTATGTATTATTGTTTGACCCAACATACTTTGCAAATATGGAGTTATAAGTTTGTGTACACTCCACTACTTTTCATTTATTAAACATAAGGGGAAATAAGGGTTATGTGGAAATATTATTAACTCAGTTTTCTGGCTCGGATGGAAAGATATTATCTTTCGCGGGTGAAGAAAAAAGGAAATGCCCCATTTGGGAATCTGCCAACCGTACACTGAGTACGTGCCATTAAGCTATAGATGTAAAACATATGAAGGTCAAAGTTCAAATTATTATTTACTGCACTCCGTAAACATTGGGTGACAACAGCATGACGCTCGCGCTCTTACTGGTAGACTGGTATAGAATGCCTTATGGCATTATGTCCGCCATTTGCTTTGTTATTTTGCAACAACTTTTACTTTTTTAGGGTTCCGTACCTAAAAAGGAAAAAACGGAACCCTTATAGGATCACTTTGTTGTCCGTCTATCCGTCCGTCCGTCTGTCAAGACCGTTTTTCTCAGGAACACGTAGAGGTATCAAACTGAAATTCATATATAATACTCAGGAGTACTGTCCCTTGGAGCTGCGAAAAAATCAAACTTCTAAGCCACAGCAATCAAAAGATACAGCCGTTTATGTCGCAAATTTTCGAAACTCGCACGGGAATCAAAACCTACAGGGTACTTCCCGTGAACTTAGAATCTTGAAATTTGGTACGAAGTAACGTCTTATAGTACAGATAAAGGAAAAATTGCGAAAACCGTAAATTCTTAGTTACATCCTATAATATTTTTTTTTAATAATTATTAAAATATACCTAGAGGTTTGTACGGAACCCTCGGTGCGCGAGTCCGACTCGCACTTGGCCGGTTTTTTTTTATATATAGAGGTAGGCAAATGACTCTATCCCAACTGATGTTAAGTGGTAATAAAGCCCAAACGCGAAGATAGCCGGTACAGCAGTTGTTAACTGCTACACCAATCATACTCACCTTGCCGGCCTGCAAAAATGCTTCTTTACGCCTCTCTTAAGGGACCCCAGATTATAAGAAGGAGGGAACAATTCCACGGGTAAATAATTCCACTTACGAATAGTACGACATAGAAAAGAGTCACCAAATTTCTTTGTTCGTGTAGGAATAGTGGCCACAGTAAGTCGGTGGCAACGTAGGCCAGCGCGCGTGGTCCTCTGAAAAAAAGGTGATGGAGGGATAAGGGAGAATAACTCCTCAGAACACTCGCCGTGGTATAGTCGGTAGAATGCGCTTAATGATGCCACATCGCGGCGAAATGAAATAAACCACAAATGAGACATTCAGGGGCTTGTTTTCATAAGCACCTAATATCACATTTATCCTATTATAATTCCTTGTGAGTAATGTAGAGCAGTCTGCGCAGAGTGTAACACTACACTATGAAACAGTGAGTATACATTCGTACAAACGTCACTCTCAGAAACTTGAAGCCACATTTGTTGGCCCCAAAACCGTGACCGGAAAATAACAACTTGTCGACAAACAACAGTTCTCAGAGCTTCCTAGTGGACTTGCAACGAATAGCATATTCGGCAGTATACCGAATACCGAATATTTGGCGAAGCCCCTGACTGAATAGCCGAATATTAGGCAAAAGTATTCGGCTGGATTATAGCGACAAAAACTTGGGCAGACGTGATTGTTTTGCGCTCCTTTGTTTTGTTCTAATCTGCCGTCCTCAAGCTAAAATGCGGCTAAATGACAAAACCAAATTTTGAGATATGACCAAAAACGGCGCGTAAACTTTAAATTATTGCTATTATGTAACCATTCATCACATGACTGAATGAATTAAAAACTGTTAACTTGTTTAATACAGAAAATGATTAAATTATGTACTTACCTGTTTTATGTACCAATGACTACTTAATAAATGATTATAAAAGAAATGAGAACCTTACCCTTCTAAATTTTGATTACCACAATAATTCAAATACATACAATCCTCCATTTTTCCAATTCAGAAGATGATTATGTAACAATGACTACTTAAATGATTATATAACAGAAATGAAAATATGAATATATACGTAATCAATTGATTTTAATTTTTCATTTTACCAATTATTTCTCTATGACAAAATATATTATTTAAGTATTCGGTATTCGGCCGAATATAATAAAAGCAGCCGAATAGACCGAATAGTAACCGAATATTCGTTGCAAGTCTACTTCCTAGCCATTTGATAGTTAGGCTTACTAAACACAGGGCATAAAGCAGCGTGCATCGATTCAATCTGGAGACAAAAATACCAATATTATTTTTTCCAAATTGGTACCGATCACAGAACACAGAAAGATGTTAGAAGGGCCTTATAGGCGGGGCAGGTGTGCCACAGTAACATGTGAGCAAATGCTCATAACTTGATCAGAACTTGGTTCTGATTGCGTCGTTGTTCTCGGGTGAGAGCGCCAATTGGTTCGATTGTTTGATGTCGCGTCGTTTGATTGGCTATTATCTATTAGATGGAAGTGAAGTGGGGGCGAGCCGACGACATCGTTTCCCGTACAAACAACTGTCTACGATCACCCATCTAACCTCTGTGTTATGTACCGTTACTTCCAATAAAAAATCTCTTTCATCTATACATTAAACTTTGTACTATTAAAAGCAAAAAAAATAGCTAATAATAGCCATTGATTCAAAGAACAAAAAACATCCCCGCTGGCGAATAAAAACGAAGGGTATTCCCCCTTTAAGACCGATTCGATCGGCACAAGCTATCAATAATATATTTGACATAACACGCTACCTATGCTGTGAACCGATTCACTAAGCGGTTCTACTTGCTTGCAATACCTGCGTTTCCGGATTTTACAAAAAACATGAGCACATCACCATTGAGTTATAAAAACAATTAATATGCATCGTCATGTTTCTTTCCGATCAATTAATGTTCCTAATTCTAGATATTGTGGTTAAGGCATTACGTAAGTGCTTCAAGATGTTGATTTACGTGGATTCAACCAAGACTATTTACATTAATATACCTTATAAAAAGTAA